CATCAGAGCAGGACATCAGGCTTAACGATAATTCACCAAAAGACGAAGGCTAGAATTGTTTCAGGCTTCAAACCCACCGACTTCTTGTGGTCCAATTTGGCCCACTTAGGCAGTTCATGTCTTCATTGGATATCCCATAATTTGCATAGATATTTGCTGAGAAATAAAGTTAGTGGCAGTGTATAACATGAAATGACCGCAGATGAAGAGTAAAATAGATGCAATTGTGACCGGACAGTTGCATTCTCCTCTAAAACACGTATACCTTTGGACCTGCAATGCTACCGCGTGTGATTTCGCTCCATTGCACGCGTGCTATTCGAATGCTTGAGACTGTGGGAAATGACGCTTAGAGTAGTACAGAGAGGGTGGCAGGGGTCGAGTGAAATAGCTGAACCAAGAAGATAGGAAGCGGATCCTATGGGGCAAGAAGAAGACTCTGATAAGACTTAGGGAAGAAGGACGACATAACAATATGGAAGACTCTGATCAACATTCCCAGCACAATGGTGAAGGGGGGTGAGAAATCCAGCGTGTTGTGTGGAGAGTTATCATGAGATCCGTTCAAAAGGGCAAACCATGCCACATTAATATAAGAAATTGTGAAAGTGAAGTGTTCATACGAGGATATATGATTGGTGAATAGACCAGTGCAGAAGAAAAGATACCACAATTGTTTAGCCGCAAATTGGTAAATGATCGGCTCTGACGAGTTGTAGTGTGGTGCTAAGATTGGCAAGACTCACTAACGATGTCAACGAAACGTCTGGGAATGAACCAAGTTTACGGTCCGACTGGAAATTACCATGCATACTATGGGCTCTAGTCCAAGCGCGTTCCTCCAAGTTTTCCTACCAATATGACCAAATTGTGAAAACAAGGTCAAACAACTTCTCAATGCAACATGACAAATTAATTTATTAAGTATTACTTTAGAGGATAGTGTTGAACTTTTATTGGAATAAGGAATGAATTTTTCCTCTCCAAATGAAGTAAATCATTCTCTGGACAAATTTGTTAAGTTAATTAGTTTATTAGATAGGTTGCCTGAGGAGATTAAGAATATTGTTGCACTGAAGTCGTTTCCTTATTTTGAACAGATAGTCAAGCCTTTGCTCTAAATATGGTTTATGGCTATTCATTTTGTAATAGATACGAAGATAAACTGGGTTTCGATAAGAGTACTTTCATTTCGTATGTAAGTGCATTAAGAAGAGATTCGTAGGTCGATCTCACCAGAAGAGGACGGCTGAATCCCGTTGTAATGCAGCCGTTTGGCTTTTATACGGCGTTCAAGTTGAGGCAATCCATGAGACATCTTCACTTGTTTCGGGTGAAAATGGGCTGAGCCAAGGACTGGACATGAGATAGAATGGTCTTAAACTTGTAGTTTTCTGATTATGGTAAAGGATCGGCTCTGGCGAGCTGTAGTGTGGTGCTAAGATTGGCAAGACTCCCAATGTACGCCTGCGGTTAAGAGAAATATGAGAGAGGCTAAAGAAATTAATAGCCTAGGAAATACGCTGAATTTGAGGAACGGTGGTAAAAAGTTTAATAGGAACTAGTTATACTTGATTGACATATTGAAGGAGAGAGAGGGTGTTGAGCCACATCCAAAAGGACGCGACTCAACATGTCTGCTTAGTGATGTTTCTAACTTCACTCACACTCGTCCAACATGTTATATTAAGCTTATCACCCAAACCAGACGTGCCAGATTGTGCAGCCCTAGCCATTCCTTTCCTCAGGTGGTTAAACGTTAATGACCCTAGACTGAGAGGTTAGGACAAGTGGCTTCGTACCTTGACCTATAAGGTTACATCTTATTATCTTAACCACACTTGCTTACGGACTTACGCAGTCTCGGTCATGGCTTTCTCTTGGCTCATTAAGCCTTGATGACCATAGACTGACATTAGCTTTTTGATCACTCTGAATTAGGAACGGTATTGCGCATAGAGATTAACATACAAACACACGCACACACTCGAGCAAAAGTGGCAAGACCAGTCTGAAAGATAATTTGCCAAACCACTCTATAACTATCTAAGTTATTTAATTTTATTTTGCTTAATTTAGCCTACATAAGAGGTAGGATAGAGCCGGATAGTCTTCTTGCCCTAGTGCTGACGTGAGACTAACAGGAATGAGATCCAGCTCTGATGATATCCATCATATGATGGAAGAAAGCTCAGCCTGTTTTCACCCGAAAAGAAGGATGACGTCTCGTGGACTGCGCCAACCTGAACGTCGTATGAAAGCCTAACGACTGCAGTACAACGCGATTCAGTCATCCTCTTATAGTGAGATCGACCTTATTCCATAATAGCCTAATTGTTATGAAAGCCGAAAAATATAGAGCCATCATAGATCCCCGAGCAACTCAGGCTGAGATATTAAGAAGCAAACTTTTGAGTGTTAAGTCAGTTTATGAAACCGCCTTTCATGACCTTTAGGTCAGGGGTCATTAAGGGTTAATGACTCATGGAAAACATGATTGTGAGTGCCTAATTTCGTAGATCTGATTTGATTGATGAGCTTAATCTAACATGGTTTGCGTAAGTATTGGTGAAATTGAAAAGTGTAAAATGAATTTAATAGTCCAAATAGATGCAGAACCCTCCCTCAAGCAGTGGGCCCCTCTTAAATTAATTGTTTATAGGAAAGCAAGCTTGAAGCATAAATAATTACATAATACATACATTTAAAACATAAAATTAAGAAAAGCTGCTGATTTGTGACTATATTCAGTTAAAAATTCATGTGAGTTTGTAAAATTATTTGATTGGCAGATAAATTCAGAGGAAAATGGGCTAGTAAGTTTAGATGCTTCGTTTATATACACAAATATTCCTGTTCAAGGAGCCATCTAGGGTATGGTAAAATCTCTGGAGAAGCATTCAGAGATTAAGCGCGCAATAATATTGAGCACAGCCTCCATTCTCAGACTTATTAACCTATCTATGTGTATGTAGCACATATTCTACTTTTGAGGGCAAGTTTTGTGAACAGACAAAAGGACTTGCGATGATAACTTGCTTAGCTCTCGTTTTGGCTCCTGCTTTCACTTAATCAATATGAAAGGAGCATTAGGTTTACAATGGAATTAGAAGAAATAGCTTCTTACCTTTTTTGGATGTTCTGGTTTTTACAGATAGGGGTAAGTTCGGAAGTTATGTTTATGGAAAACCAACATATACTGGTTCCTTTCTAAATTTTCTTTATAACAACACTTAAAAAACTACAAATGGAATTTTGCAATCAATGATTATCAGGAGTATAACTGAAGGGTTAGAATTGCTAATATACTTATTTCATAAAAAATTATCCCTTGGGCTTAATTAAGAATAATATCTTTTACTAAGGAATACATTTTCAAACTGAGACTACTCAGACTACTCAGACTTTTTCCCATGTCCTGATTTTTCCGCCATACCTTTTTTCAGAGAAGATAGGTCAACTAGTGAGAAAGTGGGGGATTAAAACATTGTTCTACGAACTCTCGGTATTTTCGTTCATTTCATCTTTTAGAGAAATATGATCCATTTATCGGGATCGAGCTGCTACAAGAGTATGTTCTCATGGAGTTGACCTTATGTGGGTGAGTCGTGTCGACCTACTTGCCAAAGATTAGCGTAACACAAAAATGCTTGTAAAAACAACTGGATCAGAGAGCCAGAAGTGGCCGAACACTTGGCATAAACTGGAAATGAGATAGGATGATATTAAATGCAAAGGCCTGCTGATTATGGTGCGCCTGATGTTAAAAGAAACATAAGAATCTATTGAAATAAGTAGATTAGAGAATATAGTGATTGTGAGGAGCGGTCATAGAAAGTTGAGTAAGACCTAATTGTTCTTGATTGAAAGGTAGAAGGTGAGATAGGATGTTTAGCTGCTAAGCAAAATAAGGCAAATTAACCTGTCAACCCACTAATAGCTCCAATTTCACTCACACTTGTATGAAATTTAGATAAAGCTCATCAACTAAACCAAGCCTACTAGATTGCGCAATCCCAATCAGACCTTTCCTTGGGTCGGTAATTTTGATTATGTTAGAAGTAAGGGTTATGGCGTATGATCTTGTAATCTGGCTAACACGCGTACAAACTTGCATGTGATTATCTTAACCAGAGTTGAGTAAGAACATATGCAATTTCCGACAGGCTTTTTCCTGAAGCAGTAAACCTGCCTAGGATGAAATGAAATAAGACACAAGACTAATTATTCGCTTATCCTATCATTTTGGACTAAGAGCATAATATCCACTAAATAGAGATAATCGCCCTATATCGCCCTCTCTAGGACCGGGATATGTGACTAAAGTCCAACACGTCGGCATACACAAAAGTATGTGATTCATATGATGAGATTTCAGCATTAGAAAATCTCAAACACCTAAAAATCTAAGAATCCTGACGACAGAATTTCATTATTACTTTCATTTTTGAAATTATTAATCCATAATTCCTTGAAAGACTTGGGCTATTATAAGTATCAACATAAATTCAGGCTTTGTTACCAAAATATTATCGAAAATGTACACATGCTATATCGTCAACCATCCTTAAATCGTATACCCAGGGTATTTGGCATAACGCTCAATATCTGATTGCGCCGATCGAGAGTTTATAGTAGTATCCAAGGTGTAGATAGAAAATAGATAAAAATCACACTCTAGACCTGGCATCTAAGGCTAATAGATGTATTGCAATATCAGATATCCCTAGTTTTAAGGTATAGTACTAATTGACATAATTAGTTACCATTGATTTTAAGTATATGTAATTTTCTAAGAGGTTTCTAAGCGCCAAGTGAGAAAAAAGAGCCTATCTAAAATTATAGGCCATATATTCGAAGCAAAATTTGTCATTTTTGATGCTATTTTTAATTTTTTCACAATTATCGCTTTACATATCCATTAACATACACAGCAATGCTTCTTAAGAAAATAAGTCGTCAATAATTAATAGCTGGTAGGTGGGCTAAAATTCATGTTTTTAACCGATATTAAAACCCGTAGAAATTTTATATTTTGAATGTGGCAGCAAAGAATTGGTAAGAAGAGAGAGCTTACCTCGGGCTTCCATCTTCTGTTTATCCGTTAGGCGAATAGGTTGACCCTCTGTGTCACCAAAAGGCAATACTCCTTTTAGCAGGGTCACATCAATGTCTTCATATTCGGAGCAAAGCTCAGTTGCTAGGTCCAAGACAGGCGACTCTCCTACAGCGTCAAGATGGCTTTCGCGTTCGTCGACGTCTGGCGAGAGCAGATGAAGTGCGGCAAGTTGACCAAACCGATGTGCCACATCTTTTGGGCTTTCTCCTGCATCACTTAAAATGTTTGAATTGGCACCAAATTGCAGAAGCCATTGAATGCAGTCAATATGGCCCTGACCAGCGGCTAAATTTAATGAGGTAATTTGTCGAACTAAGAAAGCTTTTCGCACGTCATAACCGCTAGTTATAATGATTAAGAATGATGGATAAACAAATTCCAGTTGAATCTATACAGCATGCAATTTCATACGAATTGAAAGTCTTTCCAACAAAAAAATATTAGACAAAAACGAAATAAAGCACATTTTTATTTTAACTAAAATTTTTCAGTGCTGGATTGATCTCGTGTTCGTAACTTGGTCAGAGCGTCAAGGCGACCTTGTAAAACTTACATAGTTTTGCGTCCTTTGCCATAGTGTTTGTGCTTTCCGGCATAATACCATTGATTTGGTACATTCCCAGAAAGCCATACTATCTTACTCTTCATATCAATGATATAGAACTTTCAGTTATTTATGAAAAATATTTCGGGTCCAATAATCCAGGATGAAGAGAAAACAAAGGTCTATAAGGAAATTCATTTGATTCCAAGGGAGGGAGTTGTTTGTATCTCCTTGTTCTCCATTTACTTCTTAATTGAGGATTCTTACCTAGATAATTTAGTCCTAAAAATTAATTTAATTAGTTTAAAATAATCACTACAACTACGTTATATGATATGTTAGTTCGAATTACAGGTTGGCTTCAAAAGGATATTTTAATAAAACAAAAACCAGCCATAACTTTTCTGCTTATGAAAGTCACTCAACTTAAAATAAAATATAAAAATCTCGAAAACCTTTAGAATAACTAGACCAATATAAAAATATCAAAGCCTACATAATTACCTTTGTGCAGTGGTGTTGAACCGTATTCGTCGCGTTCATTCACTTTAACAACACCATTCTCAATTAGGACTCGAAGTTGGTTCAGATCTCCTTTAAAGGCAGCGTCGTGTGCCGGAAATCCCACAGCATTTAAATGGGATTCTGAATCATGGGTGCCATCAAAAAAGCCTCCATTCTCACGAGCCCACTCAGCTTTCTCAATATAATGCACCACAGACTGCTTAAGAAATTGCTGTGCCACCATCTTAGGTGTCTCTCCACGATCATTAATGGCTTCCAGCACTAAGGCTGAAGTAGCTGCATTGCTGAGTAGAAACTGGATAACCGGGAGATGCCCCTCTCGCGCAGCCAGATGACCTATTTTATTAAGAAATAGGAAAGAATGTAGGACATATACTGCACATGCCAAATTCGTCAAGTTTTAATGTAAACATATTTTACGTATAAGTATAGTTTCCAGGGTGAATACATCTCATATGACGTAAAAATAGCACAAATGAAAAACTAAGTAAATAAGGGATTAGTATTTATTTGTGAAGAAATCAGTAAATACTTAACTTAAAG